TATCTAGAAATACAGCAAAGCAAATGCAACAAATCTCTCCTTGTACATAAAATAGCTAAAAATTTGGCCTCTTTATTAATCTTAAGTCATATATTTGGCTTGGAAGAAACAACACAAGAGTTCCATTAAGAGTTACCATCATAAACAAAATTTTCCTTCTAGATCTTTAAATGTTCATAGAAAGCCATCTTCCACAGTACACACAACAGCCTTGAGAGTCGGTCCCACAGAAAACATTTATGAAAGTGAAACAGAAAGATGCTGCTTGTTTCTCAGTACATAAACATCACCTGAACTTAACTGATCAATCCATTTATTTAAAAAATAATTCATCTATGACCAAAAGCATTATTATATTTGTTGGTGGCCATTCTTGTTCTAATCATATCCAAAAGGTCTAAAAGTAATTCAAAATTAAAAGTGGCCCAAGTGCTAGGGCAGCCTATGGCTCTTGCTGCAAAATAGTTGCCAGTCTGATGTGAGTTTCTGAAAAGAAGAACAGGAATTAAAGAGTTCTTGCTTGAGTTCAAGAGAATTTCCCAGAAGGAGGTGGAGGGCCAAGAAATCCACCTGCCTGCTTGGTGGCAGCTCGTGAAGGGGCAAGGCCAAGAATCTTCTGAATGTTCTGTGAAGAGAACATAATTAGGTTTTAATATGAGATATACAGAGGACATGTTTTATGGAGATCTTAGGCAAAGAGAACTCATACCATTATGACCTACAAAACAGCACAAGTCCTCTTTACCTGAAGGGACCTTGGTCTACTAATCAAAGTAACTGGGTTTTTTCCCAAGTGAAGGATCATAAAAGAGATCATCTTTTACCTTTACCATGAAACATATAAAGTACATTCATTAGCTATTTCTGGTGTCAGGGTCTTTTCTTTGAGTATGGATCTTCTGGCTGGATTTGGTCATTACTGCACTATTTACAATTTTCAGTTTCAATTTCTTTGAAGTGGTAAAAGAACTTAGAGATGTGCAAAGCAATCCGATTTCAGAATCCTTCTAAATTTTCAGCACCCCCTGATTGTTTTCACTGACCTCACTCATATCTAATACA